AGCGAGCAATAGATAACATTAAAAAAGTGTTTGCTTCACAAATAAATTAGGTTTTAAATATTTACATTTGTATATAAACCAAACAAATCTGAATTTATTATAGAAAAAGAATGAAAATAAAAGCAGGTATGTTCCTAACAATTTTCATTCTGTTTGATTATGGAATCTGAGCAAAACATAATTCATGTCAACCTCATCTTCACTTTTAACACAATTTTATTTTTAATATACAAATAATAAGTAAAAACTTACGTGGTTCAGCAAAAAGATAGTAATTATGTTATAGATTTACCATGTAACATAAGAGCAGTTATTTATACATTAGAGATGTGAGAAAAGAGACTAAGTAACATATACACTGTCTTTATCCTGTGTTTAGGATTAATCAAAACTGTTGACAGTGGTGGTGGCTATGAATGAATTAAGGCAACAACATCCCTTTAAATATCTTGAAATTACTTCTTTAATGCAATTGAAAGTACAGCAGATTATGATAGGACAATTCTGAAAAATAATGTTGAACTACACATTTTTTTCATATGACTTTATTGCATTTTCCTCATTGTCCTATTTTCTATTACATCTACTTGTGACCTCTTGCCATCATGGAATTGAAAGCACTGAAAATGACAGTGGCTTCCTATCTGATGGTGCAAAGCTTAGAACAATCAGCTGATATGAAACCATTGATTTTTTAATCAGCTGTTAATTTCTGATAGATATTTGGATAAAATAATTACAAAATATTTAATAGAAAGCTTGTCTTTTGACGAGACAAAACTTGGAATTAACCACAGTGGTTCTATGAACAAACATTATTTGCAATTTTCCCCCCACATTTTATTTCTCATATTATATAAGGCAGAAAAGTGTATTTTTGATTGTTTCCTCTTTTTTTTAAGCCATCTTAAACTGCATTTTTGTCTTATGCAGAAAACAAGGAAATTTTTCAGATATTAAGGTTTTAATTAATATCCATTTTGTTTGAGTATGTCTGGATATACTATTGCGTGCTGATTGCTGAAAATTTGGACAGTTAATTATAATGCCAAAGGGAAATAGAAGAGCTATATTTAGTCTTCAAACCCACTCAATGTCAATTTCACACACACACACACACACACACACACACGCACTTTATTTCCAAAATGCATTGAACGTTTCAAGAAAAGAAAAGTAGGGAGGAAGAATACTAATTGACATAGTTGAAATCTTTGAAATTGTCTATTGGAACAGAAAAGTGAATGCAATGACATTTTTTACCAATCCAATAAGAAAGAGAAGGATGCAGAATTTATTTGGAAATTGATATTGCAGTTCCTTCATTCATTTAGTATGAGAAATACCATGGATTTTTGCAGTTGTTGTTTCCATCCTAAGTGGATAAGAATTTACACTGCTATTAGTCTGCTGCAGAATTTCATGAATTACCAAGGGCAGAGTTTAGTGAAATATGTGCAACCAACACAATGTATAACAAAGATGCAGAGCAGGCATTCAGATGTTATGTTAGCTGCTCCTAATCAAAGGCTGGGGCTGTACAGAAAACCATAGAATAGCCGTGTAAGGACCATGAAGAGTGATTTCTATGGAGCTGTAAGTGTGCTTAAAAAAAAAAAAAGAAAAAGAAAGAAAACCTCTTTCAGAAAAACTTGGTTTCTCCCTTCTTTTGCACTGCTGGGGGATGAGGGAGAGGGAGGAGCAATACAGACTTCTTTTTGATGATAATATAAAAGGCCCAAAAACAAATGGTGTAATAAAATAGCTATTTTAATAAGCTACAATAAAAAGAGGAATATAGACAGTGAGTAGATCTTGCAACCCTTCACATGCTGGGCATCGCGGGTTTATTCAGCATGGGATTAATTGTGGATGGATGTTCCCACAGCAAGCTGCACAGATCCTGTCGGTGGAGAGGTTCCCGCTCCCTCCCCCGCTGTGCTGGTTTTATCTGGTGTAACAAAGAAAGCCGTGTATCTTCCGGCAGGTTGCGATGTTGTGTTTGTGGAAAGACCCAGGAGCGTGCAGCACAGGTTTGTATGGCATTCCAGCACCTCCCCTTGCAGCAGGTACCCGTGTGACATGCAGGGACAAGGTCACTTCCCTGTGACAAGGCCCCATGCAGCAGACTCAGCCCACCCAAGGTCACCAACTTCTGCAATACAATGTCTTCTGCAAGGCTCCCAGTACATCTCCCAGTACTATTTTATAGCTCTGTGGAATCAGGGCAAAAGAGAAGAGGTATTCTGTCTTGAAACCAGAAAGTTTTGCTGAGATCTATCAATAACTCTGTATTCTTATACTGTGAAGGTAACTGTTTGGGAATTTAGTATAAAGTGTGGCTGAAAATGTTAATTTTTGCTTAACCAAAAAGGAAGACAAACAATATGTTCCATAGCATACTTTATATCTATACATGCTTTACTTGTTCCAGCATTGAACTCTTTATCTCAAGACTTGACATCTTTCCTGAACACAGCTTATAGGTCTGATTAAAAAAATAAGTGGGGTTTCTTGATCTGTTGGGGAAGATGGAGGCTGTTGTTTATATTATATTGCATTCTTAAATTATATCTCAGTTTACTTCTAGCTGATTTGCTTATTTTAAAATTATGTGAGGCTTTTAAAGCACTTTTATTATCCTGCCATTTTTTTGAGCTAAGCTCAGACTCATACATATCATTTTGCATTAACACAAATTATTGTGTTCTGAACTTAGCATCTTAAATCATTTTGTTTGATCCTGTATGATTCCACACAGTTGCAGATTTGTAATTACTTTTTATTTTCATTCCTATGTCACCCCTAGAAAAACACTGATAAACTGTAGACTATTATGGCTGAATTTATGGGACCTCAAGTGCCATGTATTACATGGTTATTTCCTCACAATGTGAAGAGAAAAGTAATTTTAAAGGAAATCCTCCATATTGCCCTGGGGAAATTAATTTGCTTTATAACATAAGAAAGACTGTGTAAGATAACATAAGCAAATACAGAATTGTGATCTGCATCTGGTGCCACTGTCTGGGCATGTAGGGATACATTTTAAAGTTCCAGAGCCCATTTGGAGCTGAGTTTGGTGAATGACATAAAGGGAAAAAGATGGGCTGCTACAGAGACATCAGCATGAAAAAGAAGGTTAAGGGTGATGGGGACCTGGTGGCAAAGGATATGGAAGAGGCCAGGTTGTACTGGAGGTTTCTTCACATCAGTCTTTCCTGGCAAAAGCATTCCTAGGAACATGACACCAGTGGGAAAATTAGGGAAGGGAGTCATCCTCTGGCAAGGAAGCTTTCTTTATCCATGGATATCCATAGGATCTGACTGAGACCATTTAAATGACGTGGACTTTCAAAGGTGAAAGGGTCTCAATAGGATGCACCTACAAGCACTGGGCAAACTGGCCCACGGCATTGTGAGGCAGCAGCTCTTGACAATCTATGAAGGATCATGGTGATCAAGGAGGTTCCTGCAGTCTGTAAGGGAGCCAGCACCACTTTCCAAGGGCAAGACAGGGAATCCAAGACTCCATAGGTACATCAGCCTCACATTGGTTTCTGGAATAGAGATGGAGCATTTCACCCTGGAAGCCATTCCCAGAACTAGAAGGGATTTAGGAGCAGTCATCATGGATTTACAGAGGAAAGAATTCCTGGTCAGCCTGACAGTCTCCTGCAGTTAGGTGAATGGCAGGGTGGATGTAGGGGATGTTGTTTCAAATGTCCTTAGAAATCTTTTGGACACTGCCAAAGACAAAACCGTGAAGTTCAGGCTGGATGGACGGACAGGAGGGTGAATCCAAAACTGGCTGCATTACCAGACTCAAAGGCCTGCATCATATCCCAGAGCTGTTTTTTCCCCCTCTCCTCTCTGCTGAAGTACAAATGATATTTTGGGAAAATCTTAGTATCCAGGCCTTTTCTGAATTCAGAACTCAGGATTCAGTTCCTGTTTTCACTCTCAACTTTCAGCTGTCAACAGCTGAGGAGCTTCTGTGTACCAACATAATTTTTAATATGATGTTTTCCATTGCTTTCTCCAAACTTTTTTTTAAAGCATACTGTTTTTAGCTTTTGTAACACTGTGTTTCAATGAACCTCATAATTTCATTATGTGTGTGGGTGACATATGTACTTTCTGTGTTGTGTTCCTTTCCTTTTATTTTTTTTTTTTTTTGAATTTTTAAAATTTCTTAAGTTCATTACTTTGCAGTATGAGTTGGTTTTTAGTGATGGTGTTTTAAAAATTTTATTCTGTTGCATGCGGAGTTCTAAATGCTTAAAATTTGCCAGACTAAATTTGCTTTCTTTTTTATTCCTCCACAGACAGAAAGAGCAATATTAGGATAATATAATTTCATTTAGTCTCAAAGGTCTAAAATCCAATTGTAAACAAGATGGCCAAATAAAATTTATGTTTTCACGGAAAAAAATCAATGTAAACATTTAGTTGGTTACCATGCCATCTTACACATCCGGTTTTGGTCATCCAAATAGAATGATGAACATTATACAACATGACAATTTTGATAGCATGGCTGCCCTACAGACATACAGAAAAATATCTTGTGTATGTTTTAATTTTGCATATCTCTCTCATAGCTATATTCTGAAATCAATCTCTTCAAAGTCCAGGGTTTAAAGGAAATAATGAAAAATGCATCACCTCTCATTAATATGTATCATTTATGTGCATGAAAACTGCACATGCTTTTTGTAATGGATTATAAAAAACACTTGATAATGGCTAATGGAGTTAGGGATTTAGTGTGAGTGATGGGGGTTACCCTATCCCAAATAACTACTATGGCTAATCGCAATTTTGTCACGTGAGACGAAGAACTATTTTTAATTTACTGTTTCCATTGGTTTACCTGTAGGAGTATTTTAGTGAATCAGACATTAAAGCATCATAATTATTTCATAATTTATGTATCATTTCTTGTTTTCCCCTGTTCATTGGTATTTTCTGTTCTTTCTTTCTCTTACATGCTGCAGTTGCAAACATATTGTGGAGAGAGCAAGGTACTAATGGAGATTACTTTTGTTTGTATTTTCTGTAGTATGATGAAATGCTCATCTGTTGTTTCTTTTGTGTGTGTGTATCTGCGTTCATGCTCTACAGTTGCAGTAATTACCTACCACCTTGAAACACTGAGGAATTTGACTTAAAAAAAATTAAGTGGAAATTAATCTTATAAATGCTCATACTTTTGTTAACTGCTTTTCCTTTTTGGGAGAGAGAAGGAAATAAGTTGTTCACAATTTTCAGACAGTTGTTCAAAGATATACAACAAGAAGCCCAGATTTAAAATGTAGACGTGTAACTTTTGATTGTTGTCTTGTTGGAACTTCTAACCAGTCAGCCTATATGCTGTTGAGATTGATTTTCTTGTATGAATCTCTCTTATCTGACAAAATTATAAACAGTTTAAAATTGAGACACCCCTTGTTGCTTAATGAAACCAAGCATTTTATTTTTATACTCAGGAAAGGTTTGTAAATAAATGTTGGGGCAGGGAATGGATGTTTGTGATGAACTAAAGGATAAATATAAAGACACAATCAGGTGCTATTAACATAAAAAACATGGAAATTTTTTTTTAAAAGCAAAAGATAGGTATTAATTTTCATATATATGACATAATCTCAAAAAATATCCTCATATTCCAGAAAAATATCATAATCATGAATTCTCATTCTGTTGGTCTAAGTAGCCTGTTCTTCATCTAAAGTTGCAGTTTAGGAATTAATATATTTCAGGAGTATGAAATTGTTTCAATTATTTCCATTGTAAGATTGATAATAGAAGATAAGAAGTGGATCAGGCTTTGCTGTGAATTTATGCTAGAAATGGTATTTCTTTAGACTTTTTAAAATTTTGTTTTTAATTAATTTAAAGATTTAAAAATCTGATATTTCATTTGCCTGTGTATAGCAACCTTTGGCATTCTCAGTGTATTTATAAATAGGAACTAGTTTTATTTTTTCATTCCTGTTTTACCAGTTCTTCAGGTGGTACAAACACTCATCTCTGTGATTGTAGTGGAGCTCAGCTGTGATCCTCCTGCTCTATTGGCTTTGCAGAGTACAAATGATGTGTTTAGAGTTTCATAAAATTCCACTGTTAATAATTAAACTGATATGCAACAAGATTGTACCAAATTCTCTAAAGTGTGCTGTTCTCACCTCTTGTTGGAAAAGTATCAAATATGGTTTATCTCAAAACTGAAAACATGATTAGTATCCCCTTGATTTATAGATGATTGTCTTTTCAAGTCAGTTTGTTGCTTTTAGTCATTAGAATGCACCTTGGAAAATGTAAATGCTGTGACAAAAAAGACCAGTTAAAAGTAATAGTGCTTATGGTAAAGGCATTCAAATTTCTGTGTGACAAATGTGAAACCAAACGAAAAGCAATTTATAGTAGCAGATTTTGTGTCTCCTAGGGTAGATCTTCTCAATCTCTCCTGCATTTCTCATTGGCCAATCCTTGTGTTTCCAACAAATATTGTTACTAATTAAACACTGGAAATATTTTACAAGACAGCAATACCCTGAAGATGACAATAAACACCACCAACTTCTCTGGGCCATGCATACTCTGCCATTTTCTGTTATGAAAGTGTTAACAGGTAGGAAGAGAGGGATGGGTGATTAGTAGGACAATCAAGATCATGAAATCATATATAGGCCTTAGTGCCTAAGATATTTCTGTATCAAATGCACAAAACCTTTATCACAGACAATTGCTTCAGAAAATCTGAAAGGATTCTGAAGGTGCATGTGTATTAAAATAATAATACAATATATATATAATTATAAATATATTCATATATATGGAAAAGAACCCCAACCACCACCATTTTAAAAAAAATCATTGTTAGCCAGTTTAAAGTATCCGCTTAAACTAAATAAAGCAAATCTATTTATCTATTGCTTCTGGCATTGCATTAAAAATGTGCAGGATTGTAATTAGTGGGGGGGAGAGCTGCAAAATTAATTCTTCAAATGAATAGTTCCTGTAGTTCTGAAAAAGTAGGAGCCGAGGTGATTATATATTTATGCAATTAGATTTTTTTGCAGGTATCTGTAGCCACTCAAATAAAGAATTTTGGGTCATAATAAGTTGGAAAAAGGAATTAACTAATTGGATCCATAGGTAAAGTTTTGTTATATGAACTGACTTTCTTAACTAGGTATTGAAATGGAAGGATGGGTTTGATACTGTATGTCCTTCACTGTTTTTGTAGGACAGTTTGGTGAACACTATTACCCAGACTTTAAAAACAAAGCCTTAAAACTTGAGCTGTTTATTAGACATAAATAATACCTGTACGTTGGAAATCTTGCTTTGGAGTATTGGCACCTGAGGTGGAGGTTTTAGGAGCCTGATTATCAAATGTCTGGGTCACCCGGGGCTATCGTCTGAGCTACTTCCTCATATTCTGGTATTGCCTATCCTGCTAATTACTATAATATACTTCATCCAATGAGAAGAGGGAGAAGGGAAAACCCCATTTTGTCCCCAGCCATGTTCACATATTCATCCCCAAGGCACAATATGCCAGTTGCTCAGCTATAGATCTCTACACTGTGTTCACCGTGTTCGCTGACATCAGGCTTATCTGCAAACTTCAGCTGTTCTTACATGATATGATGTCAGGCATTCTTTAAAGAGAGACCACATACATACATACATACACAAACATGCATTCCTCCTACCCCCTCTTGATTTTGTCATTATTTTATTTTTTATTAAGACCTGTTCTCTCTCTCTATTAACATTGGTTTTCCCTCAGAATTTAGGATAAGCAGAATTTCAGATTCAGATTTCTTTTTCATGGGTTTCACTCCTCTGTGTTCCTATACCAAATACTGTTATTCAGGATGCATGCACATTTTTACCATTGTAGCAAACAGTCTAGTTGGTTAGAATGGTTACAGTTATGATTTTCTGAGTACTATGATTTTCTTCAAAGAATTTTATTATATATTATTATTATAATATGAACTGACCATCCACACAGCAAATCAACAACTGTTGTCTTATTTGGCACACAGAAAACTAATGAGACTGTCCTTTTCTTTGGACATGACCATGATCACAGATATTGTGAGATTTCATGCTACAGATCTGGTTCTCATCTTCTCCACAAAATTTAGCATCATGCCTTTCAGCAACATTGTGGAAGAAGGATTGAATAGTTCTGTAAACACCTATGGCCCTTCAACAAATATCTGCCCAACTCTGTCTATCTAATAAAATAAAATAGAGAATATTTCCTTTTCTGACTGAAATATCAAGTAAGGTTTTATAGCAAAGACTCGGGTCTTCTCTTTCAGTGCTATACAGAAATTATGTAAAGTCCTCCATCCCTAAGCAAAAGAAAAAAAGGTGTACATGGAGAATTTTATTTCAGTGTAGATGATTTCACAAGTTCACTTTTATTGCTGGCACTATCAAACTGCATTTCTAGATCTGTATTCATAAAGACATTGTCTTGCCAATGGAGAAAACTATGTAAAATCTGAATAATGTAACAGTTTTGTTTCAGTTTCACAACAAAAGATCCCATAGGTTTAGCTGTATTACCATTATACGCATTAACAAACTGATCTCATACCAAACTCTGATTAAGTTTTTAGTTCAAGACAAGGATTTTCTTTTTTGTCATTATTTAATTTTATACATTTCAATGTGTTTTTGTCCCTAAGGTCTGGGAATTGGGAACATGTTTTATGTTTTTTATGAAGATGGCATCAAAGTAATACAACCAGTGGAATGTGAATTTCAGAGGCATATTAAGCCTAGTGAAAAACTCCTCGGTTTTCAGGCAAGTTGTTTTTAACAATCTATTTGCAGTGTTTTCTCAATTATAATTTTCTTTACATAAGAATTTATTATTACTCGTTCAGTGTTTTCTGCTTGATAAATTCAGCCATGTTTTCTGAATTAATAAATAGCTTATAATGGTGATCTCAAAATTTCTTGTATTTTCCTCAGTTAAATTCAAGCTTTCAGTCCCTCTATTCAATTGAATATTCCCTGAATACTTTTGCAAACCTTTTCCCTCTTTGGCTGTCTTTCTCCTTTCCCAGTTCTTTAACAGCTCTCTATTTCTGGATTTGTTGGTTTTTTTAGTCCCCACCAGCTCCCCACCTCTAACCCACCAGTTAAGTTCATCTTAGTGAATCAGGGATTGATTCTCTCTATGTTAAATACAGGATCTTTGTGGGGCATGGAGGTGTTAATGGTTTCTTTTTCCTCACTGGATGTTTGTCTGTATCAAACTCCCAGCTATCATGAGGCAAATCCCTGTCCTGGTAAAAGCTCTCACAGCTTCCACTGAAGTTAGTAGAGATGATTGATGCTTTGGTTCCAACTTAAAATTCATATAAGTAGTTGCAATAACTTTACTGTTAACATATTTATAGCTGATTTCTCCAAAATCTTAGAATTTATGATATAGTTTCCCTGAGTAGGATACATAAAAACACTAGTGTATTCTCCACTTCCATTTATTCTTGTGATGTTTTTCCTTTACTGCTAATCAAATTGCTAGCTGGCATGATGCATGTTCCCACAGGAACACTTGGTACTAGTCACTACATTAAGACTTACTCTGTATGATATATCAGCTTTCAAAAATAGTAACTTTTTCTCATTTGGATTTGAATGAGTGACCTTGAAATACATACTAAGCATTGAGCTGTACACTTTGGATTTTTTTTTTTTCTCTAATGCCTCAATGACAGCAGAGCTAGAGCTGTCTCAATGGAATTTGCCTCTTCAGTTATCATTACTGATGTCAAAGGCTGCTGTACTCAGCAACAAGATTTATTTTAGTGTGAATAATTATGCTTTGAACAGCTAATCATACCTTGATTTGTGCTGCTTAAGTGAAATTAGGTTGACAGAGCCAAAAATAAGCCAAAAAGCTTTTTTTTTAAGGCTGTTTAATTAAAAAGCTGATTATTTAAAAAGTATGTTAAAAATTTTATTGGTCTGAAGTGCAACCTAGATTTTTAGGAGTATTTTTATTGAAATGTGGCAATAATCAGGATGAATAAGTAAAATTTGTTTCCATTTGGATCCTTTCAAACCTGGAGTAGCATAACAACTATATCCTCATGGCAGGGGCAGGGGAGAGGGGAAAGAAAAAAATAATAAAATCCCAGGAAAGCAGGCTACTTGATAGCTTTAACATATTTTTAAAAAACTTTTTTTTAAAAAAATTATTATTCTCCTTTGAAGAATATCATATATTCCTCAAGCCTCTTTGGAAAATCTGTTTCCTCTGAATAAAAACAATAAAATAACCCAGTTCTGTCCCAGGATCAGATTTTTATCAAGTTCAGCATGTGATTGCTTAGTGTAACAGCTCATGTCATAAATTGCTGGTTAGTAATTCTCTTTGCCTCTGTCATATACTTCTACTAATCAGAGATGTTGGTAAGTATACCAAGCATATTTTAAGGTAGCTTTACATAGCCTTTCCCATTAGGGCATCTCCATGACTTAGCTATTAACATATTAATAATAAAGGAAATACGTGCTTGCTTAAGCCTCTCCCATTTCTTTACACTTCTCTGAATCAGCTGTTCAAGTGATAAGTACAGCCACAGAAGAGTTTTTTGTTGCCAAACAGTTGCTAAAGTGTAGGAAGATTTCTAAATTCAGCAGTGCAGTGTAGATAATACAAAATGTCTGGATATTACACATGACACTCCAGCGTTCCTGCACAGGTTTCCTGTTTGTCTGTCAAGAAACATCGATTGAGCTTCTGTAAAAGAGTGAGCTCAGGTGTTTCTACATAGCATTGCACTGTATAGTGAACACAGTACTTACACATGTACATATTTAGGTATGCTAATTTTGCTGAAGGTAAGTATATTTTCTCACTTGCTATATGCTTGAGAACCCTTATCTAAATACTTAATTACCTCTTATGCAACAGAGTGTCAATACAGCAAAACACTTTGGTGTATATCTAACATGGGGATTGATTAGACTCCATGTGTTTAAAGGGAAGCAAAAGATTTAGTGCTTTTCTGGGTTGTCATGGTTCACAGAAATTGTAAAGACCTCCTTCCTCTCCTTCCCAGAATCTCCTAAATTACTTGAATCTTCTTAATGTCAAGTGCACGTAAAAATTTATTAGTGGGATAGTGAAAATTCTAGATGCATAGGGACAGAAATTGATTTCTATTTTCCAATATAGGTTGTTGCTTAGTTAGACCAGCTTTGACAGCTGTTTGTTTAACCTGTTGTCAAATAGATTCTTAATCATGGCCCAAGTAGAGCCTTTCACCTGTTAAAATATTTCATCATCGTGAAGTGCTTGGGACATTTTCTGCACCAACATTCAGCCTCTGTTTGTCCTCTGCAAATTAATATTATCCAAAGACTTAAATTCTAATTCTTATGCAAAAGTGTTTTTATTTTCCTTTCACACTGAATCCAGATTAGAATAATTATTTCCAGAGACTGGGAAAACGCAATTGAAACAGATGTGTTTTTGAGACTAACAAAAAAATCCTTTTGGCTTGAACATAAAACTGATTTTCTGTTTATTACAAGAAGTAGCACATAATGGCCAAATTTCAGTGAAATATGCCATCTCACATTTGAATATATGCTGGAGATTGGAGCAAAATACTTCATTTCAAAATGACTAATGTTACTACATGGCAGACCAAAATTTCCACAGCAAATTAGAATGAAACATATTTTGTAGTCCGCAGAAACTGCCTTGGTTTACGTTTTTACAGCACAGAAAGTGTAGTAAATGCTAACCCTTGTTTGATTAAAAAAAAAAAAAAAAAAAAGGTTTTAAAAAAAATCCTGTCTGAATTAATAAAGAATGTCAAGAAAACATTTAATGTAGGAAGAGGTAATACATAAATTCAAGTCTTAAAACACGCACTGTTGCAGCCTGTTGGTATCATCTTACTCTTGGGCAGCCATAACATAGCTAGACATTTCATTACATTGCCTGAAGAGTTTGACTCACATCCTGTTAAAACACCGAGGACCCTTGCAGTCACTTAATAAACATAGAATTTGCACGTATAAATCTGCAAGTACGTGTTTCCTCTTGAGATTTTTTTGCCCCAGCCTATCTTGAAAAACTTTCTCTAAAGATTTATTTTCCTCCATCTGCTGACTTGTTACAGAGCAAGTCACTTTTTGATTAAAAAGTCTGGGAGGAATACAACAATGAAGTAAATTAATGTTTTATCAGATGTTAACTTTTTTTTTTTTCAGAGAGAATAAATTAGGAAAAAGTAAATTGCTCACATTTTAATTAGAAGAAGAAAATGGTGGGTTTATGCTTATATTTTAAGGAGAAATTATTTTAACCAATTACCCAACCACTGGGGAAATTAATATGGAGAATCGGAATAACTGCCTGTATTGTAAAAAGAAGACCAAACTGTCTAATCAGATAAATGTCATATTTTCAAAAACAAGATTTCACTTCTGTTGAAACAGTTTCAGATAAATGCATATTTGAGTAACTAGGGAAACAACCACACAAACCAGTTTATACTGGGGAAAACACTGTTTTGGATATGAGAATTTTGGTGTATAATTTTCACTGTTACATTGGAAAAAAAAAAATTTTTTTGCTTTATTTTATGTTTTCATTGTTTTTGGGCAAGGTGAGAATTGGCATTGGATTATAGAAATTTATGACAACTTGAAAAATATTTTAGAACCTTTAAAATACATTTGTATATGTAGATGTGTATATGTGTGATTGTATATGTATATATATATGTATGTATATACATAAATAACACTATATTTGTACTGGTCTTACTATGAAAAAATCTTTAAAAATACACTTCTGAGTATTTCAGACTCAGATTCAGGAAAATGTATAAGACAGTAACTCATCTCTGGATATATTTGTAAGTGCTTAAGTTAGAGTATTTTGCTATTATGCTATACATCCCAGAAGGGGAGGTGGTATCAGAGAAATCATTTACACTAATCTATATGATGCCATGTGAGAGAAGTACAGATTCCTTCAGCAGAAGGCAGCGTTATTTTTGAATAATATACTGAATATGTCCTTGCAGAATTCAGTCCCAGAAACTCATGTAAATTAATGTGGGTTCCTGAGAGGTGCCTGAAAAAAATGTCTCTGTGTAGATTTGTTACAAACATTTGTGGTTCATTGTTTGAAGGTGCTGTCTCTGAGGAGTAAAGAGGATGGTGTAGAACAATCTAGATGTAGTTATCTGTTTCGATTAAACATGGAACTAAGACAAGGTGTATTTAGAATAAATATAAAAAATAATGAGATCAGTGAAACAACTTGAAGTGACAATTACCCAGAAAGCAAATGACAATAGATCACTGATATGACAATTTCACATCATACTAAGAGACATACTTGCATATGTTGACTTTATGCATCAATGGAAAGCACTTAGCTACTTTTAAAAATAAAAGTCCCATTTGTCCCATGACTGTTATTCCTTAAAAAAAACAGATTTTTAACTTCTCCCTTTCATCTTCATGGGTTTTTTTTATCAGCACAAACTAAACCTTGTTACTTATTTCTAAGTTTTCCTGAAGTTTCTGATGATGTGCTATCACATGGTCCCTGAGTTAGTAACCTTTTCCTTATCATATGATTCCTGAAAGACCTTCCTTTTGCTGAGGTTTAAGAGCCATGTACAAGCAAGCAATGGCTTTCAATCTTCTGCAAAGAAACTCCCTCTGTTAAAGCTGGAAATCGATTTATTTCTTCTTTTGACACATAAAGATTGAGTGTATTTTTGAAAATGTAGAGGCACAGCAGGCAAAGAAGAAGAATTCTTGAAGAGCATTGCTTGGTGCCAGAGATTATGTTTGGCCACATGATGTTTCCTGTGCCTTTTAAAAGGCATTTGATGCTTAGAGACAGAATTCTTGTTTAGGAGCTCACCATCTCTTGCTGCTCATTCTACATTGAGTCATTATCTGCTGACATATCATAATTATTTTCACAGCAGCCAGTTATGATGTATCAGGCAGAGAATTCTAAATTAGGAATAAGCAGCAGACAAGTGGCAAAAAGAAATAATACTTATGATTTGGTAAAATTGTCCCTTGTGATGCAAAGCATTTAAAATACAAGGCAAAATAAGAAAAGGTCAGGAAAACAAAATCACTTGATACAACCTGTACTTTTCCAAGTAGAGTGTTTTTCAGGTCCATGTGTTTAAATAATTATAATGTCCATCATAGGAAAGAAAAAATGCTATTTCATAAATGGAATTCCCACATATAGTAATATATTTGACAAAGTAACTTTTGATTAAAGCAAGCTTTTTCTGGAAGAAAATATTCACAAATAGTAGTTAAATACATGATGATTTGCCATATATTTCTGCAAATTAGGAATAGTGAGCATGTAAACTACAGTTAGCTATTTTGACTGAGACTGTTATATGTATAGTTACATGTATTATGAAATATCAGTTCACTGAACAGATTTTTAGTTTTGTCAAATTCATCCCTTTGCAGGAATGGAAGGGCAGAGAAGGAAGGGATGATAGTAAGAAGACATTTGATGTTTTTTTGGCTTAACACTAGTAAGATAGGCCATGAGAATGTCTTATGGCAGAAGCAGCAAAACTTTTTGATCTTTGAAACAACCTATCAGCAATCCAGGTGACCAAAGAGCTAATCTTTGTGCTGCTTTGCCCCTATACCATGTGACAATTTGGACCACCCCTTTCTCATCAATTGTGCATTATCATTTCCCCAGTTAGGTATTTGCCTGGCTTGCTGCTGTGCTCTCAGCTGCAAGGTAAGCCATGCCTGCACTTGTACATTATCATTTCCCCAGTTAGGTATTTGCCTGGTTTACCACTGTGTTCTCAGCTGCAAGGTAAGCCATTCCTGCCCTGCCTCCCTTTGCAGGGCTCTGTGATGCTGCTCAGGTGGGAGCTGCAGGACCCAGGCATTGTGTGTCTGGTTTGGTTCCCTGGTTTTGAGGTCTCCTGCCCCTTGGCCACTTTATTTCTACATGTATGGTTGTTTCAAATTGGTTTCTTTCTCAGGTGAACAGTACTAACTTCTTGAATCTCTAAAATAACATCCCAAAATTTGGTGTATGAATTATTTTATAGTGCTTGTGAGTTGTGGTGCTTACAGGTGCATAAGTTTGGCTAACGTAAGTTTATGTCCTAGTGTCAACTGTCCTTTTTTCTTCCCTACATTTTCTGAGGTTTTATTTTACAGTTAAAAAAGAAGAAAATGAATATAATTTGTCTTTCTATTAGATTGTTGACTGTTTGATTCTTACATTTTCCTGTTTCTGTTGAATTATAGGATGAAGTTTGTCCCAGAGCAGATGGTGATCCTGTTCAGCGGTGTGTTTGGGCAACTGCTGTTAATGTAAAGGACAAATTCATATATGTGACTCAGCCCACACTTGACAGAGTTCTCATTGTTGATGTACAGTCTCAGAAAGTTGTACAGGTATTTATTTCTCATTTTTTAAGTTACTATTTTATTTAGACAAAGGAATTTAAGACTTTCCTTCATATTTCAGAAACAGAATTACAGTTATCTTGAGACTAGACATATTATGTGGAAAAAAGCTCACCTAATTTCGACATTTAGCAGCAGTTTCAGTTTAGCAACTGTTCTTCTCAATAGACAGTTGTGAGGAAGATAACATGAACATAGCTCTTATAAATATTATTCAAGTAGTTGAGGAACTGAGTTCTTCAGGAAGTTTTTGACTTGAGATATCTTTCACTCTAGAACAAGGATTGTCTAAAATAGAGTCTTATCACAAGAATGTTTCTATCAGTTTTGACAGAAAGGTCAGGTTTGGCTACAGAAGGTGGAGGACTCTGTCCCTTTTAGACAGAGAAATTATGGAAACAGTAAAAATAAACACCACCCTCAGCCAAGACTGGAGACTTTGAATTCAATCTTCTCTACCCCTCTTGGTCTCTGGGATGCTGGAGACATTCTGCTTTGTGAAAATAATTCATTGAGTAGAAGAGAGACATCAGTGCTATGCTACAGTGATTAATACAGTCATAGAGTTTGAGCAAAACCAGGTGTGGTGTGTTGGACTTGAAGCCAGATATCCACCAGAGCCACTCTATCACTCCTCTCCCCAAATGGGCAGAGAAAGAAAAGGTTCATGGGTTGAGAGGAGGGAAGGGAAAGATCACTCACCACTTACCATCACATGCAAAACGGACTTGACTTTGATAATAAATTCAGCTCTTTTCCCTACCAAAACCTAAGTAAGATATTGGGTATTATAACAAATCCTAAACACCTGTCCCCAGCATTCCCTCCTTCCTGGGCTTAGTTTTATTCCTGACTCTCTGCCTCCACCCCACCAGCTGTGAGGGAGATGAGGAATGGGGAGGTCAGTTCATCAGTTTGTCACATGTTATTGCTGCTGCTGCTGCTTTTTCCTCAGAGAGAGTAGTCTTTTCCCTGCTCCTTCGTGGGGCAATTCCCATGGGAGACAGTCCTCCATGAGCTTCTCCAGAGTGAGTCTTTCCCATGGGCTTCAGTTCTTCACAAGCTGCTCCATTGTGGGTCCCTTTCCGTGGAGTACAGTCCTTCAGGAACAGGTTGCTCCAGGCTGGAGGTCACGAGTCCTGTGAATACATCTGTTTCAGTGTGGATGCCTCTTCACAATTTCACGGGTCCTGCCAGGAGCCTGGATCAGGCATCCACCTGCTGCAGTGTGGGGTCCTCAAGGGACTTCAGGTGGATCTCTGCTCCACCACAGACCTCCATGGGCTGCAGGGGCACAGTTGCTTCACTGTGGTCTTCAGCAAGCGAATCTGTCCTGGCTCACCTCAAGCATCTCCTGCCTCTCCTCCACTGGCCTGGGCGTCTGCAGAGCTGTTCCCCCGACATATTCCTCTCTCAGCTGGTTGCAAGCACTTCTCCACAAAACACTTTAGTGTGTCTCTGCTGTGTTATCCCAGAGGTCCTAGCCCACCACTGATGGACTAGTGACTGGCCAGCAGCAGGTTTCTGTTGGCACCAGCTGGCACAGGCTCTGTCAGACATGGGGGAAGTGTCTGGCAGCTTCTCACAGAAGCCACCCATATAGCTCCCCCCTGCTACCAAAATCTAGTCACACAAACCCATTGCACCAAGGTACAAGGCAGCACTTATAGTCTCATCATATTTATAGGAAACAGGTGTTCTTTAGCTAAATAAAACATGGATTTTTTTTTTTTTAATTAGAAACCTAACTAAATTGTTACTTAAATAGAGCTTTTTTTCATGCCTTTTGCTTTCTTCACTGATAAGTGAATGAAAATCTTTAAAGTATAGATTATATATTAGGCTCCAGGGAGACAGTATTGAGTCCTTTCACTACTTAAAGGGGACTTATAAGAAAGTTGGAGACAGATTTATTAGTAGGGACACTAACAGTAGGACAAGGGGTAATGGTTTTAAACTAAAAGACGGTAGATGCAGACTAGATATAATGAAGCCATTTTTTACAATGAGGTTTGAGAAGCACTGTCAGAGGTTGCCCAGAGAGGTGGTAGAAGCCCCAAACCTGAAAACCTTCAAAGTCAGTTTAGATGGGGCTCTGAGCAAACTGATCTAGTTGAAGATATCTCTACTGAAAAATGGAGTTTTCGGACTAGATGACGTTTAAAGGTCCCTTCCAACTCAAATTATTCCATGATGTAAGTATTCACATGTATTGTGGATATGCATAGAAAAATGAAAGATGAATAAGAAAATTGCATTTATAAAATTGCATTAATTTAAAAAGTAATTTTAATGCTTTTGATTGCTTGAAACATCTGCTTTCTGAACTCTGTGTCAGCTGACTCAGACATGGCTTCCTCAAAACTTGAGCTAACCAAATGTTGGCAGGGACTTATAAAATGTTTTATTCAAGAAGTTAATAATAAAAAGGTGAGGTTTCTTCACTTAAATTTACCTTTGTATATTAAAACACAGACAAACGGAGTGGGTAATGATATATTTTATTTTTTTTTCTGAAAACAATAATTTTTTGCAACCACTTTGATATACTACTTCAGGAAGACAGACTAAAATCCCACAGTCTCAACACAGTCCATAAATTTGAAGGACTGGAATGTCTGGCGATGTTTTCCATGGTCTCTGACTGACATTCAGTCATCAGGTTCCTTTTCTTGACAGGAGGGATGAAATATCACTGTAATTGCATTTATTAGCATTTAGACTTCAGTGTCAAAAGCACACGATTCCTTTTGAGCTCACTGAAAATAGTTTTTAATTCAGGTTTTATGAAATAAGTTCATTAGTAGGCTCTTCTAATTTGTCTTCATTTGCATCAGTTTATTGTTTTAAATATGTAATAATATTTAAAACAATAAACTAATATATCACTTTACTATTACAAAATGTGAAGAGGAACTTACTGCAAAGATGTATGTTAATTAAAAAAAAAAAATTCAGTAAATTAACTACTAATTAAAGGTTCAGGCCTTCCCCAGAAATACGTAAAGCAATTGTGCAGTTTTTGAATGGTGTTAGACGGTTCTGTCATAAAAATATTCAGGTTTCTGTAATGAGCTGAAAAGCAGACATACAGAATGCCTAAGTTTAGCAAAGAGCTTTGTGCACTACGTCTGTGCTACTTAGCAAGTATATTGAGCTAAAACCAGGATACTCCAGAAGCTTTCATGTTATTCTGGGGGAAAAAATCACTTTTGATGGAATTTTATTTTAAGGGATAGAATAGCATTGTTTTCCACTAATTTAGTAATATCCAGATTATGAAGTAAGGGAAGTATAGAATTAAATTTACCCCAGCTGTGGAAAACCTTTGCAGGAATGGAACTCTTGGTTTTGATGGTTTTAGATATTTAAATATTAATAATAATAAATTATTATCCCATTTCACAGTACTTAACAAAGATTTTTGATAAGACAATATAACCAGGGAATAACAGTTTAACCAGATAAATAAATTGAACCAGATGTTAGATAGATGTTAAATAGACTTAAAAACCAAGCAAAAGCAAACAAAAAAACCCACACAACAAAACAAAAAAAAACCCCAAAAATATGAATAGTTGCACACAAAACAAATAAATAATGAAAGCATAAAACCTATACAATATTTTTACATATAATGTAAAACTGTAAAAAGTAAAACCCCTGCTGATTCACAGATAGGTTTTATACTTGAAGGCTAATTTGGAATTTAGTCATGAGAGATACTTTGTTTTACATTTCTTAAAACATGCATGGTTCTGTCTTCTTGTCTGTTAAAAATAAGCATTTATTTTCTAGCTTTGTGTTTTGCAGGCAGGAAGAATGTTCTAACCATTAAATGTTGCTCTATTTATATGATATGCACTTACAAAAACACTTTTACAAACAGGAGCCGCAGAAGGGAATTTAGTTTTCTAGATCAGTCTATTTTCATTACTTAAAGTACTGACTAGCATGGAGTAAAATAAAGATTTAATGCATTTTTGGAAAATAGAAACTCAGCTGTTCAGAAATGAGAGAATTTCTCTTGTTAGACTGCCTTTTTCCTAAAGATCATAATAATACAGAGGATATAATTTCCATACATGTATATGTGCATGTAACTACTTGTGATTTACATCTCAAAAAAGAAACCACCTTGCAAAAAAAACCACGTTGGCTAGTGGGAGAAAATGTGGACATAATTTCATTTTTTGAAAGCAAGAACACTCTAATGAAACTTACATCACTGTGCAAAAACCCTAAAGAAAATTAAAAATTTATTTGAAAGAACTTTAAGTCATGTAGTGATGCTGTTTTCTGTGTAAAAATAATGCTTATTTGGTTTTGCTTATTACAATGTTTTCTTTAAAGTACTACTATACATGTTATTCCTTTCTGCTATGAAAGTTAATGTAGAAGGTGTGCAGATGTGTGACAACTAGATTTGAAGATGATTTATTTTTATGACAGGTATATTTATCAAAATAAGTACTTTAGAGGATTCTATAGCAGACTAAATTGAAATTTATTTGAAACATGGATGTTGTATCTTTAGAGATGTGTATAGAGAGAGACTTTTTGGCTTATCCAGGTAATCTCATTATAACATCAAGAGAAGCATTTGCTTTCGTTTCTAAATTCTTGAAAGCAAGAATTTTGCAGTGTTGCATAGCAGCACACCACTTAGTGGAATGACTTACAGGCTGAAGTAAACGGAGTCCTCGTCCTTCAGTCCTCAGTGTGCTGCTGGCAGATCAGCCTGGTCAGCTAGAAACAGCTGTGAAATTCTGCTTCTGAGATGCCCAACTCCTTTTTGCTGCTGGCTTCCCTCTAGGGAGCTGTACTGCCTGTGCCTGACCCTGCAGGCAATTCCTTCTGCTCCTCCTGTCTGTGCCATGACCCAGCTCTGAACGCAGCTGGCAGTCCTCTGGCAGAGCATGTATGGGTCAGACCTTTGTCTGGGGAAGCCAAAGGAAAATTTGATATACCTTGACAAATTAGCTATACAACAGTTCAAGTATTATTTTAAACAACTTGTTTTCTGGCATGTAAATCAAACAAAAATGACCTTTTTCAAGGGGTAACTTCTGATTTCAAATGAGCCGGTGAGCAACCTGGCTTCATTTTCCATTTTCAAAAGGAAAAACAAATTCTGCTTAGATGAGGTGGTCGCTTGCAACACCTCAGGAGTACAGTTAAGTATCATCAGCAGTCTCAGCCAGCCATTAGTGCATTATCTTGAGGATCTACATCATTAGTTTAAATTAGATTCACTTAATTAGCCAGCTGGTACTCTCCTTGACACACTGATAAACAAGCTGTGCTTTACAGTTCCATAATGGTAAGACTAAAAAACAATTTCCACCTATTTTTAGTTCTTTAATGATGAAAAATATAAAAGTAATCCCCTCACTTGTTTAACCTGTGCATAAAATCTCTTAATCAAATACATTGTCTTCCCATTTTCATTCTTCCGAATACTTTTCGTAACAAAGGAAGTTTAGTGCTCAGCTGTCTAAAAGGTTGATGGTCTCGAGAGAAAATGCTTAAAGTTGTAGGGAAAACACTTTGTTTCTGATCACAGATCTATGAAAAGTAGCAACTGTAATTGGAAAACATATGAGAATAATCCTTTCTACTTCAACAAAATACACACATTTTAACAGATAGGAAGCTTTGGGTGCAGCAACATCATGTTGATTTCTTGCAGTAATGTATTCCATTAATTCCAGTGTGTGGCTTGAGAATACGCTTCCCTTTTTAACCATTTTTTGGTAATTGGTGTAGTTTTTCAGCCAATTCATGTAAAGTGAGAGTGATGGCATGGAAAGAAGATAAGTAGTTTTGTACTTGATTTAAAACCTTTGTTTTCAACTTCTTAAAGGCTTCAGTATAATGTGGTTTTGATACCAAGTGTTAGAGTACTTAATGAATAAAAAATACATTTTCAGCAATTCAGTACCTCTGAATTTATCAGAGGGCTGTTTCAACAATCGACAGTGTAATTCTTAAATACAGTCTGAAAATATCTGGAAATGCATATCTACTCATCATTTTCATTCAAGCATATATATTATGTTTCCTTTGAAAATGTGATGGAAAGAGGATTTCTTTCTTTGTTGTATTTCAGGCAGTAAGTACAGATCCTGTTCCTGTGAAACTACACTATGATAAATCGCATGATCAAGTCTGGGTGCTGAGCTGGGGAAACCTGGAAAAGAATTCACCAACTTTGCAGGTGAGGTGATCACAATGAATATATGTAAGGAAATAGAGACAATGTGAACCTTTGTGTAATTGCAATGTGTTGTGTATTTTCCTTTAAGCATTATTACCATGACCTCAGCAGGGGTAGAGAGATGATTTTTGGTAACCAGAAAACAAGTTAGGCAACTGACCTTGCCAAAAAACTTAATGATTGTTTTCAACACCCTTAGTCAGGATTGACAGTAGAAAATTCATAGAAGGGTAAGGAATGCAGCTGAGAACAGCAGCATGTTCAGTACTGCCTGTCTTTTGAGAGCAAGCTGTTGTTCTTCATGATATTTCTGTCCCTAATTAGATAAACCAGTTTTTAGACATACTTCCGTTTCATTAAAGTCCTATTGACACTTTGGAGGTGTCAAGCTCTGTGTTTATTGTGTTTTTTCAGATGAAAGATATTAAAAATCTCGATTTTTTCCAATACCTTGGAGCAGTGACAAACCTAGCAACAGTCACTCTAAAAAAAATCTCAAGAAGCTGTACTTACCTTACTACTTTTTTATTAATTTCTACTCCTTATTTATAGCAATCCCTTGAGACTATGATGATCAGCCTTATATAATAATTTTTAAAAAATCATTTTTCTTTTAATCATTTTTCCTTTTCTTCAGAAATTTATTAAATCCTTATGTATTTAATATATACTTATATATAAGAAAAAGCATAAGAGAAATTTGAAAAGCAAAGTTAGTAACATTTGAAATCACATTTTCAGTACCTACACTTGTAGTAACTTTGAGCACGCAAGGTAATTTTGTTGAAATTTAGTTGCCACTCCTCCTCAGAACTGATAATTGAGTCAATCTCACCATATTTTTAAGTGAGTGATCATCCTCACCCTCATTTTTAACTACAGTATAGATAATAGATTGTCTTCTTTTCTAAAAAAAAATCCACTCTGAAATGCACATATGTGAAAAGCATAGTGGCTATTATATGGAATTGTCTTCTGTTCACCCATAAACATTTGATTGAGAGAAGGTCTAAGATTTTGGGATTTGAATAAAATTGGTTCATAAGAATTTAAGGAATATGTAAACTCAGTTGAGCTTGTTCTGAAATGTGTCAATGCTATGTTGAATCAACTCATGATTGACAAGAATTGGGAGTATGCATAGCCAGATGTTCCATTGGATTTGTTGATAGCATCTTTTCACTCTGGCTGAAGTGCTTAAAAATTTAATCTTACTCTAAGATTTAAATTTTTAAAAAAGATAAACAAAAAACTTACTTTAAACTAAGAGCTGTTAAAGGGTTTAGTAATGTAAATGAATAAATATGGATTCAGGGGTAATAAAAAAAGATGGAGGGGAAAGGTAAGTATGAAGACTTAAGTGGTCAGGTATGTAATAGTTCTCTGAAATCTGTAATGTTGGTTAGTTTTATTCATCATCATTTGTATCCCTTTTCTTGGTAACTGAAAGCCAATACAAGAGAATACAGAGGCAATCCTGTATTCGTTCATTTGGGCTGAGATTTGATATTTAAAGGGTATTTCTGTAGTTTATAACAATATTACTTTATGCAGGTGATAACTCAAGCCAGTGGGAGTGTTTCTCACCACACAATCCATACTCAGCCAGTGGGAAAGCAGTTTGACAGAGTGGATGACTTTTTCATTCCAGCTACAACCCTCATCATTACCCATGTACGGTAAGTTAACTGAACAAGGTGAGTGTAGGATTGGCTTTGTGTTTGTTCATCCTAAGAACAGGTTCTGCCTGTGACAGAGCTGAGCAATTTGATCAGCTGGATTTTAAAAGACAGAGAAAGAGAGGATGAGGAAAACAGGACAACATTTAACACAGGCACAAAGCAGAGCTCTCCCCAAGACCTCTTAGAGGAAAATCTGTTTTTCTTCCTCAAAATACACTAGTAAGAATGTGATATATAATTTTCTTTTAATATTTTTTTCTGTAACATTTTGACCTCTAGGTATTGAATAATTCTGCAGTCTAGGATTATTTCAGATGAGTATTGCATTGATGTGTATTAATTAGTAATTTGTATGTTTAGAACTTCTATGTTTCTTTGCAAGCTGACATAGATCCATTTTGTCTCAAAACAGCTCTGCCAACAATTATCCATTGTTTATTCTGATATTCCAAGTTCAAGTTTCTATAGTAATACCTTGATTAGGTAATCTTAAATGTCACCATTCTGTTCTAGCAAAATTCTTAAATTACAGGTGTAAATAGGCATCCCCATTAAAAAGGATATAATTTATGATTGTAGTGAGTGATAGTCTTTTAAATGTGAAAACATGCAATTTAGGATGATTTTACAACTGATTATAGAATTTCCTCTGTATGTGACTGGGAAGAAGCTAGTCTTCTGTATTAAAGAACATTTGGCTTTTTTTAAAGAAAATTATTTTTCTTTTAAAGAAAATAATTTTTTTTCTTTTGTTGCTGAAAGATTTTTTTTAATTTCCTACAAAACTCTTAACTAACAAGTTAGCAATCAGCCATTTACAATTTAAAAAGAAATTTATAAATTAATATATGCTGAATAATAAGTTGACTCTAAGTACCATTATTACCATATTTCTTGAATGGAGTAGACAAATTCCTGTTGTGTCCCTGAAGTAATCTGTACTCCTCACATTCAGCCTTCGAAAAACATGAAATATTTCTGCTGTATTTGGAACAGATATGTGTTGTGAGAACAAAAGTTACTAAACTTTCATAAACTAGCAAGTATTAGAGGTGCTGCCCAAACAGAACTGACATTTAGATACTTTAATGTTCAGGTAATGGAAAAATCAAACCATGAATAGCAATAAGCATCATACTAGGAGGGGAATCAGGACTGGGAAAAGAAAAATAGGGCCAATCCAAAGCTACTGTTGGATTTTAACTATTTTAAGTTGATATTTTGTTCAAATAGGTCAAGTAGGCACTTCCTGCTTTTCCTGTTCCCTTCAGCCACTGAGTCATTTCACATATCCTATATGCAACTCAAGAGGAAATAGAATAAAGAAATAAAAGAAAACACATAGGAATAAAAAAGGGGTATGAAATTAATTGAACACTGAAAGAATGAAATCTGATAAGTGCCTGCAGATATATAATAAATATGTACATCAATTCAGGCCCAGTATGTTCTTTTGTTTGTTAGTGGCTGTTGTTGTTTTTGTTTTATTTTTTTAATATATTCACACGGCAGATAAGATTGCCAAAATGCCGAAAGAGAATTCCTGGTCTGGCAAAAAGCCTGCAGTAGTTTGTCCACTGCTAAACCCATAGATTTGAGGGGTTTGAAGAACAAAATCAATTTGGTTTTACCAAATAATGAGCTTCAGGGATATGCTATTATTTCTGAATAACTTTTCTAAAAAGACAATAAGAAACCCACTATGTAGACAAATAAGGTGTTTTTTTCCCAATGTATTCTTCAAGAGCTCTTTATGTTAATCAGTTGTTAAAGAATTTGTCTTCCATAAAATATCTGGCCTGCAAGTACCTTGCTTTTTTTGTTTAAATAGGAATGCAATACGTGAACGATGTTACGGGAAAGATTTAAAATTAACTTTATTCATCAAATTAGGAGTGATGTAGAAAAGCCCAGTCTATTACATTTACAAAAAAACTACTCAATCACAACATGTGTTTCTTAAGGCTGTTAGGCAACAAACATAAACCTTGAGTTTATTATTCTTGGGAGTGTATAGCAACTAGGGGAGCAATTTATGAGTGTGAATTGCAAAAAAACAGCTAAAAGGGAAATAATCCCACTGGCTAAGTTGGCTGGCATAGTTAATTGCCCAAGGGCCCTATTTACTCTTTGTCAGAAATCAGTTCCCTTTGACCATGCAACACCAGCCCTGTTCAGAAAAATTAAAGTTTTCTGTAGCTAGGTGCATTTGTCACCTGTAAACTGAAATTCTGAATGATGGAGCAGAAGACACAGCATGGCTTACCAAATTAGCATCCAGAACTAAACTCCCTGTCCAAATAAAGGCAATTCTAAGCAAAAAAAAAAAAAAAAAAAAAAAAAAAAAAAAAAAGGCATATCACTTAAAAGAAAAAAATAGGTTTTGTAACAGCAATCACAAAATCACAAACCATCTGATACCATCTGCAGTGTATTACTGTCTACAGCATATTCTGTCCAATAGGCTGGCTTGGAACAGAACACAGGAACAGAAGTAAAGGCAAATAATTGAAAGCTATAGTGATCCCTTTTTTTTATTTTTGCCTTTTTAAGCTAAAGTGGTCATTGCTAGTAGTATGTATATAAGTATATAAAAAATATTGCAAAATAATTTTATTTAAGAACTGGTGAAACTATACTTTTGTTTTACCTAGGTGAGTTATTTTTATATATGAAAATCCAAATGGGCTGACCATTATTAGAAAAGAAAATTCCCCACATTTTAATGCTCCTTTGGGCAGCAGATAATTTAGAACACAGTTCCTCCAGATCAGACATTTGAAGAGATACTATAAATTTTGGTCTCAGTTAAATAGCAATTCATTCCAAGGAAAAAAATGTTTTCCCATCTTTTTCCTACCATTGACTGAGTTAATTTTTTCTTGTACTTATCACACAACATGAGTCAGGGCAAATAAGCTTTTGGTCTGGTAACAGGCAGGTGTGCCATACGTACTTTGAACAACCATGATGCACCATCAAAGCATCAGCTAACCAAACTAAGTGGGCATGAGCCAAAAGAAGTAGAGGAAAAATAGATGAATTTATTATCTTGAAACTTTCTTTTATAATTGGTGGCTAGTTGATATGTACACAGAAGAGGGACAAGAAAATAAACTTTACAATTTTGGGGAGAAAAATCTGGTAAGTTCAGTACCACCAGTTAGTTTTGGGGTGTTATGAAGGTGTCTCCCTCTCTTTTATGTTCCAGCAATACTATTTCCTTCCACTCAAACACCATTGGGAATCAAATGATGTTTTGTCTGTAATCCTTTCATATCTGCATTCATAAAGATATATGTGTGTGTGTATATATATGTTTATTAAAAAAAGAAAATATCTCTTAGTTTTAGTGAAAATATACTAAATATCTCCCTAATAATGTGTAAAGGAGCCCCTCTGATGCTTCCAGATAGCAAAAAAATCCGTGGTTGTACTGAGAGTCTCAGCTGCAGATAGACCTGGTTGGCATCCCATTATGATGCTCTAAAAATATAAGTGACTTAATTCTAGAATTTCCTGTCTGTATTTTTTGACAAGACTAGATCACCTGCTGACTCTAAGGGAGGAGTTACATCATGCCTTTGAGCATTCCTTCATGATCGAAAAAAAATATCCTTTTTCTCACTAAGCAAGCTCAGAGTTTAGAGAAAGTCAGTTTCCCATGAGTTTTCATGAGTTTCTTGTGCCAGATGTATTGCAATGCACAACCAATTTGAGTCTTAATCTTAGAAAGAGAGGCTGTGACACAAAGCAGTAATAATTATTGTTAGAAAGAACACTGAAAGAAGTTTGCTCCATCTTGCTGTTGGAAATATGAAGATTTCAAAGGGAAGAAATTTTATATTCATCTTGCCTGTCTTGAAAAACAGCCCACCCTGCTATTATCAATGGCTGTGCACTCACTATCAATGTACTTTGAATTATACCAAGAGAATGAATAAATGACTGAATGAATGAATGAATGAATGAATGAATGTAAAGCACTGTATTTCATGCACACTCTCATGCCCATATTTTTAGTATACACAGCTTGAAAAAAGTCTCCCTCTCCCTCCAGTTCTGTTGAAAAATTGCCAAACACCAGGGCCACAAAAGTAGGCAGGATGAGATCTATTACACTTTGTTAGTACAAATCCCAAGGTATTTTTCCTCAGCTCTTTCTGAAGATTTTTCCTTCTGTAGAATTGAATATATGTTTTCAATATTGGTTGTTGCACATTAACTAAGAAGAAAATTTTATTTAGTGAGCTATTTCTGTTCCAAAGCAATTCAGGACAGCCAATGATCTTGTCCTTAATTGACTGCTAATACCACTCATCATAAAAATAGACTTTTGCAATTAGTATGTGGGATGTTTGCAGAAAGATGACTTGTGCAATACTCATGAAAATATATTCTTGGAAGCCTAAGGAGCAAAAGGGCTGATTATTTAAGCTCAAGTGTTCGTAAATCGAAGTGAACAAAAGATAATTGGAATAAATTAAGGTCTTTCACTACACTCTGTAAGATATTTCAAAAGCAGGATTAAATGAACTCACTGTAATGGAGTAACTCTAAGTTTTTAGTTGTTTTAATCTTGGAGCAGTGTTTTAAATGTCATACAGTTACCTGATCTAACAAGTGGAAGAATGAGCAATCAACTCACTGGTGAGATGGCTCAGGATCTGAATAGAGTTAACATATTCTGTTTGAGTTTTTCCTCTCTTTTATGTCTCCATTGTGTAGGCAATAGGGGAAGCAGTCTTTCTAAAATTACACTTATTCATTTGCACAAAACAATTCAAAAACTAAGCTTTTCTTAAAGAGGTAATTGGAATGTGCTGCCAATGCATTCCTGTGAACCTTCTTAAATGAAACCCATGTGGAGCAGTGAGTCAGTACATTCACATTTCATTCCAGAGTTTAAGCCCCTTCAGAGGTGTGAAGTAGCTGACAGGGTGTGAGAGCATTTTTAGTATTTCTATGCAAATAATCAAACAGAAGGTATTATTTTT